GTCATTCCGGAACTCCCCCGCCTCAAAAGGCTCTGGCTCTATGGTAATTCGCTGAGCTCAGTTCCGGCCATCAAGAGCAAGAGCCTCGATATACTCTGTCTCTCGACAAATAACATCAAGAGTGTGGAGCAAAACGGCTTTGCGAATCCCAACGTCACCAAATACCACATTGGTGAGTTTTTGACGCATACAAAATAATTACTTTCCGTTGTTATTAGCATCTCTCTTTCTTCTCATTTTCTGCCGAAATCAAACTGACACACGCACAGGGACTGTGCGAAAGAAAGAAAAGACCTACTTTATTTCCGTTTTGTGGAAGAATTACCAAGAGCAAGGATTTTCTTCTTCAGACTTAAGTAGCCAGTTCGCTTCTGGGAGAGGGCATATATTAGGGAAGCTGATGTTCGTTTTCATGCTGAAAAGATTTTTCCACGTTAGAATCTTTAACCGGAATATGTTAGCATACGTCCTCGACCAGAATCGAGGATATCAAAGTCATTGGTGCTTATTTGAAGAGTTATGCTTTCGGACAGAACGAATCCATAGGGTAAAATTCATCAATTTTCTATCAGTTAAGCTGCGCGAGCTTCTTTATTTGCTCGTTCAATCTCAACGGTACAACCTGAAAGCCTCATGTTTTGTTCCTACAAAATGCTACAAAGGCGTTGTCCTCCCTAGCATTGTAACTTCTGATATTGCCTACACAATGCGATATCCGAACTTAAATGTGGAAAAAGTTAAGTTCGGACACTTTCACCTTAGTTCGGACATCCCCATTTTAAAGCCTCGATGAGGCTTGAAACACTTGAATGTGATACAAAGGAATTATAACCCACTCGCAAAGTATTGGACCTTTTCTCAATGTTCTAGTAAAGGAAGATTGTGATGAAGTTAGTGAGTGACTGACTTTCAATCTGTGTTCCAGATGAGATAGAAAGATCAATCTTGGAATTCGAAAAGCTCTGATTATGCGGATTTCAGGTAGTAATTTTTTTGGAGAGGCGCATCTTCATAATTTTTGCGCAAACAAAATGGAGAGACATAGAAACTGAAACTTGGGCACTGGTACTAATTGAAAAGCAGATTCCATGCCAAAAAAAATTTGGGGAGGCGTTGCCTGGGGGCACATCTTGGGGTGGACTTTCCAAGAAAAAATTACGTTCCTGGGAATCATGGAGACAAAGCTGAAACCATAATAAATAGGTACCTGCTGGTATGTAGACATAGGGAAAAATCCTACTTCTGGGACTTCTCTTCAAGGGGTAATTTATATAGGAGCCATGTATTCTAACATGTTTTGCTACGCTGAATCGGGTGTTGGTGGATATAGAAACCTGGAATTTGGAACCTAAGTTTCTCTCTAGTAGATAATTTCTGAAAATATGTTTCTCTTGCGGTAAATCCCTTGGATGCACATTTTTTATTTGGGTCATAATCGAAATTGCTTTTAGAGCAGAACGAGCAGGCACAGTTTATTACATTCAATAGACAAGTCTTCATCTCCATCCTTTATCTCCACTCAAAAAGTATCCTACCTCAGGGACACATCCCCACTCCGAAATTTGGAAGTACAACTCCTAGAGGCACATTTTTTTTTTTTAGCAGACAAGTACATCGTAATAAATGCTGGCCTTCCACATGATATCTCACCTAAATAAAGCCCTGATGACCTTTTCAACAGCCTCGGGTCGATAACCCCGTGCATTCCAACTTCCTATATGATGTGCTTTGGAGGTAGGCCGTACTCCTAGGTGTGAGAAGAAACGTATGATGATGCATTTTTATTAAGTGCTTGACGGTGTACGAAGACGGTGTCCCGCTATGAAAGTTCGAACAGGACTCAAAAAACATGTTCCCTGTAAAGTAAGACTCAACTGAGCTTTTGTCAACTCTAGGCAATAGAGAGTATCATATTTACGCGAATATGACACGCATGGATGTAGGTCCGAAGATAAGTTTCTCAAGCACTGCCTTATCTAAGTTTGGACACATCGGAAGTAAGACAGTAATTTGATCGAGGCATTCTGCTTAACGGGACTCTATGTTCTCCCAGTTTCCTGGTAAGAACTGAGCGCAGAAAATAACCATGTCAGGTGTAAAACGTTTTAAAAGTAAGGTTCTCTCCTTACGGTTTCTCTAGGACTCCTGTTCGCGATATCATGTTTGTCCAAGTCTAGGAATTATGCAAAGTCTTCATAACCACCGCTTGCCTTTCGCTTAGTAAAGTGTTCTTCTCGTGACTGGAAGAGCTATTTCTGAAAGCGGCCTCACGAATAGCTAGTTTTTTAAAACAATGTTTGTTACAGTGTCCGAACTTATGTGGTTTTACCCTAGCATGGAAGAATGGTCTGAATTGAAGATTAAAGGAAAATATAGTATAGGTTTCCCAATCGTCGTCGTTTTCAATTGCTTGAGCAGTCCCAAAGAAAGATCAGCTGTTACATGCAAAGCGAATCCAGATCATCTGTGGTGTATTTGTAAAGGACAAGGCTGATTCTTCATTACGAGCAACCAGAAGATGAAAAGCGGAAAGAGACATTGGAAAGTGAGAGTACGATTTGAACGGTCCATCGCCAACCAACCTGAATTCATGGATCCCTTAAAGAATAGGAAGGAGCTTAGAAGTCCCTCCATCCTAGCCTCAACAGTATCTAAGATTTGGGTGGGGGGGGGGGGGGGGGGGGCGTAGCCATGGAACCGCAAAGCACAGGAATGCAGCTCTGGTCAGTGAGAGACTTCGAATTGAAACAGCGAGCAGCAGCTGAGTTGGCGAGACTGCCCCATGGTTTCGTTCAACAATGAGGACGTTGCTTCTCCATTGAAGATGTCCGGATGGCTGAACTTGTAAAATGCTGTTTTTTTTTGTCTTACACGTTTTCCTCTCCTCCTGTCTCCACGTGACGAAGACGCGCGAGCCATCGAGGACTTCCTCCTTTTATCCAGGAATATTCGCCTTGTCCCACGACGTACGAATGACATCGTCATAAAAATTGTTATGCATGTGATGCGACGGAGAAAGATAACTGCAGCGGTATGATGGCCAGTGGAATGAAAAAGTGTACTTGTGTTGGTAATCTAGTTTTACATTCCCATGAATTTCGTTCAAGCCGTTAGGATAGTGTCATCCGTTTCTCCCGAATCTTTTTCCTTCGACTTTAAAGGTTACAATCCCCTGTCGGAGTTGCCACTCAGAGTGATCAAGAGCATGGAAAAACTGGGGGAGTTCTTTTGTTCGGGATGCAATCTGGGGCCAACGCTCTCGAGCGGCCTGCTGGAATTCCGCAGCAAGGCCTTCAAGTGGGTGGTGCTCTGGAGGAACGACATCTCTCGACTGGAGCCAAGAGCCATCAAAGGTGCTATCTCGAGTTAAAATCCTATGCGGGGTGTGGGGGAATGCCATGTAGAACTTAGACTTCGTGACACTAAAGTAAAAATAGCCGTTTCCCCTCCACCAAAATCACACATTCACAGCGCCGATAATGACCCATGCACATGCTGTTCGTGCACTTCCCCGTCCGTCCCAATTATCTCACTAAGAGGGATAAGATCTACTTGTTTTTTTTTTACGCATGTTTTCCATTTCGCGTAGGTTACGCATTAGCCACTATTTAGCCAAGCGATATATTTATTGCAGAACTAAACATATAGCTTAGTTAAAGGGAGCTTGGAAAGGGGAATTTTCAGCAAAACCATACATCTGCCGTTGACGAATTTACCATTGACTACTTCCACGTCATTGTTAATTTGAAGAAAAAAAACTGCTACTGATCATATCAAGCAGGAACATATCGGTTCCTCCCCTCAAGTAGGGCATTTGAGTACTTCTTCAAATTATATATGAGAAAGAAAAAACTTCCTGAAAATTGAGATTTTTGAAGTCCGATCAGTTCGAATCCCCTTTTAGAATCCCATAGAGGTAAGTTTTATTCTTCCCTCGTGAGGAGAGTCATAACAAGTTTGAGTAAAGGCACTTGATTTTTTGCACGTTTGGAATACGCGAATTTTACTCAGCATTCGAATAATTTACCACGTTATTCCAGTCATTTCGACAGTTTCTGCACTGTCCGATTGCTACATCGTTGCTTGCAAATAATGAATGACTCCTCCAGTGGGCCGAACAGATGCTGATTGATTGTGACACCATTTCTACTTCAATCCTCCACACAGGACATCCATTTTGATTGGAAAAGTTAGCACGCTTGACGTTCGTATTTAAAGAGGCATGCATGCAGTACGTTTGCAAATCACTCTTACTTAGCGCCCCAATCATTCAATAACGTTGAAATATCGCAATGGGCTTCTTCCGACTCTAAATAATCCTCACTTTCAGTACTTCGCAAGAAGATGACTGTGTTCCTCTCGCAGAATAGGTTTACTCGATCGAGTAGAAGGGACATTCAACAACACGGCATGTTTTCGAGGAGGAAAATACCAGACTGGAACTAAAGTGAAATATTACTGTGATAAATATTACTTCCTGAGAGGTCCGCTGGTCCGCACTTGTGGAAAGGCTCAAGAATGGACGGGGCCTGCCCCCTTCTGCGAACCTGGTCCGTCCTCCTCAGAGTGCCTATTTCTGGTCGATGTAGTTCTCGTTTTGCGATAGAATTTCATGGTGGGTTCTTACTGACGCTGGTGTAGGATGTGGAAGAAATAAGGAAGTTCCTAAGTCGGGAGAACATCCGATTCACATGATTCGAGGGAAAGTGGCGCCCATCGGGGAGTGGCCATGGCAGGTGGCCATCTACGATAAGGATGAGGATGTTAAAGATATCATCCGAGAGCAATGGGTTCTCACAGCAGCACATTGCATCGTGGACTACGATCCCTACTTCTTAGCCCGAGATGCGAACGACTTCCTCGTCTATATTGGCAAGCACTATCGGAATGACTCCAGGGACGATGGTCTCGTGCATAAGTGTCAGGTCGGGTCCCAATCGATTTCCTCCCTTCTTCACTTCCGTTCCCAGATGGACATTCGTGGCACGTGCATGCAGGTGGCACAGGTCTTCCCACACGACGGGAACAGGCGTCAGATATTTCAAGCGGACATTGCACTGTTGAAACTCGAGGAACCAGCTAAGTTGACGGAAGGAGTTCAGCTGGTCTGCCTGCCCACCCAGGAATACCTATCGCAGCGCAATGTAGATCACGGAAGGAAAGGATGGGTAGGCAAGGATGACTCACTTTGGTATCCCGTTCTTTTTAATCACTTGTCGCTAATCGTTGTTCCGATGGTAGTTGGCAGGTTGGGGTCTCGACGGCTCAAATTCCCCCTCTCCTGTCTTGAGAGACCTTGAACTTCAAGTGCAATCTGCACCCACTTTTCGCGTTATACCGAGGATGTCACGAGACGATCCCCTGACCTCGTTGACACCCTTTTTTGTGCTGGACAGCTCAGAGAGAATCATACAGGTTAGACCCTCTACTACTCCGTCGCCCCGAGAATACAGGTAAAACCTAAATCATCCCAACCGTGTGTAACAGCCCGCTTTGCGAGGACTTTATTTGAACACGATTGGGAAAGTGTATCCAAGGAGAAAGCGCATGGTACAGGATGAATGCAATTTTTCTGCTGATGGCTGACATCGATGTTTCATTTATTTTCCCAAGAAAGCATTAGCAGCTCTGTCACGAGTAAAGAATGTAACCCTTTTTAAAATATATGCATGTCATGTAATCCGAATATTAGGAGTGAGTGGAATTTTTCTTCCCAGAATATGAGATGGTGTGTGGGGGGGATTCGGGGAGTGGCATGGTCTTCCAAATGTTCCCAGGTCGGGAGAGAAGTCCCTGGATCATTGAGGGAGTATTGAGTCACTTATATCAAAATAAAAGTAAAAAATGCTCTGATCTGCTCCCAGGCCAGTTCAGCGTCTTCACCAAGGTGCATCGGCGAGACGAGACTTCCTATTCCTCTTCTGTCGTCCCAATTTATGAGACTTGTCAAGAAAGATAATAGTCCATTTTAGAAGGAGTTTTTCTTCCTCAAACTTGGCAAAAATTTAAGTTTTTTTGCGCTCACCATCTTAGTATTTGATTAATACTGGCAGGCATGAAGTCTGCATTGAAAATAAGCAGACAACAACTCACGCCTCAACTTTAACACGGGCCATAAGGGGCCTAGGAGGATGAAGCGTCTGATTCTTATCTGGCTCTGGAATTGCTTGCCAGGTAAAATCTCTGTGGTGATTTAGCTTTTTAGTGTCTACGCCCGAGTTATCTCGTGTTGGCCTCATGATGAAGGATGGGAAAAACTTGGATGACATTGCTGACTTATCCAAAATGCTCGGACCCCAAAGGGTTAAACAAATGCTTTGAAAAAATTCCAGCGTCTTCTCCTTCACTGTGGAAAAAGATCAGGTACCGCCCAAAAGTACTGGAAACTTATAACGAGCCACTGCTTGACACTTCCGAAATCGTGGTCATTTTGGCACCAATTATTAATACATTGTCAATATAGATCTCGTATCAATTGCAGGAACCTTGTATGTTCGAATGATTGGGATAGATGGCTCGGCCACATCTTGGACAAATGTAACCGCAGTAGTGGCGATGTGTAGGGTACATGGGGTGCCCACTGCGATGGGCTGCCCACTGCGATCACTCCGCCACTCAAAGCCAGCGTGGGCTCAAAGTGGTGTGCTGCCTGGGGGTTTGAGGCGAGGCCCACCAGGGTGATTCAGTAGGATGACTATGAGGCAAACGTGGTAAAGAACTACAAGGGGAAAGTGCCCAATGGCGAGCGGTATGGATACAATGGTCAACATTTTCCGTTTTTCGTCACGCACTAGTAGGGAAACGATGGGGCTTTTCTTTTGCCTGCTCTTTGGTTGCTTATTTTTACTCTGAATGGTCTAGTGACAATTGAAGTCCTTTAATGGCTCTTCATTCCCATCAGGTACATGAACTGGATCGAGGAGACGATGGCAATGAACGCTGATTGAAGACCAAGCACGCTCGTAAAAAATGAATCCTGTCTTAGTTCATCGCGTCCTCGACGCTTTACCGGCCGTTTCCATCTGCAAACATGCGGCAAATGTTGGAATTCGGATGCGGCTGATTAAGTTTTTTTGAGGGGGATAGTATCCAATTTATTTTTATTCGTTAGATCGAGACTTTATCATCGTTAGATTTTATTTGTTGGATTGAGACTTCAATTACGACTCTTAATGAGGTTCAAAACCTGCACACAAATGCCAGCTCTCCCCTCAAAATGTACTTAATATTCTTGGAAAGGAGCAAAAAAGAAACAACGTTTTTATAACTTTCGGTCTATTTCTCAGAAATAGTAAGCAGGGAAGAACGAGGGAAACGCTGCCCGAATAAAGCAAAGGAGAAGCATGAAATCGTGAACACGGAATGTTTTCATTACTTTTCAATGTTATTCTGAGGAGTCCCTGCTGTCCAGCAAAACTGAAAAAACTACAGTGAGCCCCATCGACTCCGCTCCATGGATCTTTGCAACTTGACACGATGGTAGATGGACGCATTAACGCATTAACCTAAAGCAGGTAAATGCGTTGTTTTTATCAAAGGCGAAAGATATTGCCGTCGGGTTTCCTTGGCCATCAGGACATTACGCTCAGAAGCACTGAAGACACATTCGAATGCAAAGAGACTCTGCCCACTTCGTCGTCGGAGTTGTCTGTCCACTTCACCAGTCTTTCTTTGCCTGTCTGAGAAATTTTTTTTTCTCTGCTCTTATTCGTTCATACGGTTGAAGAAATGCTTAAAAGGACATATTTCACATGCCTCAATGGAAGTCATATCCTTGCGGCTACAGTTGAATTCGCGTGAGCAAGGAATGGGAGGGTGACTAAAAAAAACGCTGATTGCACATCATACTCATATGTAGAAGGGGTTTCGATTTTAAGCAGAACACGTTCCAGCGATTTAAATGACTAGGCATCGGCCCTGGAATAGCAAAGAGGGAAACAATAAAGGAAACAGACGGGAAGCAGAAATTGGAACGAGGTAATCGTACATATTCGGGTGACCGAATTAATTGCGCTGGGGCGTGGCCGATTGCATAAAGTCCTCACGCGTCATCTCCCATCTCATCAGTCGAAGAGATGGCCGGGTTCCAGTTCAAGTATATCGTCGCGGTAGCCTTAGCATTCGGGGTCTGCTGGGGAATCCGGAGGCGAACCGGTTTCAGATGGGTCAGAAACGAGGCCCTGGGATTGAACGGACGAGTGCGACTGTATTGGACGCCGAGGTTTCGCAGGGGAGACATCGAGTTCTTGTTCGTTGCTCCAAGCACGGGATGGGTCGGAGTGGGTTTCTCCCCCAACGGCGAGATGTATGGGGCCGACATGGTCGTGGGAGGAGTCAGCAACGGGACGGCCTATTTCGCCGTGAGTCTCCCTTCTCTGGTGTAGGCTTTCGTGCATGTCCCGGAAAGAGTTTTGGCTTTTCCACGAACGAAGGAAAAAGGAAAATCCTGTAATTGGAAATCGCAGTTCTATTGAACTCAATAGTCAGAGGGATTTTCATTGTCACATTTCCTTTCCCAAGATTTTCTTATTACGTTGCATTCAATTTTCTGTTATTATGTTGCTGCGTCAAATATATCGAATCAAAGTCAATTGCAGGAGAACACTTATGTGACCAAAATTTGATCTCCGATTCCACGTTCCATAATTCTCTCAGTGTCAATAAACAAGAACAGGTACGTAGGCAGTTCTCAAGTTGGTTTTAAAAACCGTTCCGGCGCGTTTAAAGTCACTGTGACGTCTGAAATATTCTGTGAAATATTATTCCCTTTTAAATAATCGGCTTGAAGAGGTAAGTCGTATTTCACAGCACTTCCCACAGTTTACATTTACATCTGTTCATTCTATTGTCATTTTCACTTAAAAATTCCATAGAAAGTTCTTCGTTGGATAGTTACCTAGATGTGAGAAGTGAAGGGGTGTTTAGAGGTGGAACGATAAGGTTCAGTATGTGAGTGGCCTTCCCTTGATAGGCCCTTTTTTCCCACTTAACTAATGCTTAGAATAGTGAGGAAATGCCAGTAAAGGAAGAAGCTAATAAGCGATGCTGGCAAGCTGAACGATAACCGTTGAAGGTGACCGAACGTGAGCACTCCTATTGAGTTCCTTACGCGCGAAATAGCGGATGGAGCCACTACGACAAGCCGGGTTCACTTCATGACTGGCAATCGTTTGGATGTCAGCAATCATGGGTAATTCTCGTTGACAGGTGAGACTTTGATCAGATGCTTCTGGAGGGATTCCGTCTCCGAACGGAAAATTTTCCATTTTATGCAGCGAGAAATACAGCGTTCGAGTTAAGATTTCATTCTTACGGTTACGCCAAATTTTGGCAAATAGAGGAAATGATATAGAGATGATTTTGGCCGAACGGGAGATGGCGCGGAGGAGCCGGTACGCATTCCTTTTTCATCTTACAAGATGAAAACCAGGTACCTCCAGGGGCACTTGCATCTTTTAACATTGCAATCCCAACCGGGATATTTCCCGATTATTATATTGCAGAGGCTCTTCTCTAGCAATGGGTTTAAAGAATCTCAAGATTTCTTTAAGCACATTGCTCTCATTTTGAGATGAATCGCAGGAACGTCTGGAGGTCAAATAGGTTAATTCCCAAGCATTCCACGTGGAGTTAGTAAAATCCTTTTTCACGCAGAGCCTCTACAAAATTATATTTAATTTTCCTGCGATGAAGCCTGATCGTTCTGGGCGTGGTGGCGCGTTTAATAAGCTCAGCATTATTCCGGCCGGTTGACCTCAAAGATTCCGCCGGAAACCACGCTGCATAAGGTCCCCTTCATCATCCTCACGCAAAAATTCAAGTAGTGATTCGCTTGGTTCTCGAATTAATTACTTCGGGTGTCCGGAAATTTTGTGAATCATTTGTAAATATGTAATTCTGCACACAATGTTCTTCCCACAGCTCAGGTATTTAGATCAATATGTAATCTCTGTGATTGTTGATTTTCAAGTCAATCCGTTGAGAAGTGCTTACAGAGCAGACCTCAAATGACAGCCCTATAAGCTGAGTGCAACTCGGGCTGTTCTCAACAAGTTGTATATGGCTACAAGCACAGAGAACTTTCACTTCTACGCGTTCACGTGATTCAAACTTGGCATGGCGGACGCTGCCTGTTACGGAACGAGCTTTTTCAAAAGGCCTTGAGCTTGTTGCAGAAAGCCTCCACGACTTTGCCGTGGAGGCAAAGGCGTGGAGGCAAATAATGCCCCGGGTATGCTTGGCGCCGTTGATGCGAGCCGCGTTGTTGTCCTCGGTAACTTGATGCGGTACCCACATTGATGCCGCGTTACACAGTTGCAGGTCTTGTGTGAGCACCTCGAGCACCTCTTGTCAACGTCGAGGCCCTCATCCAGCTCTCGAGTAGTTACTTGGCAGTCTTCATCCACCTGCTCTCTCACCGTCTCGACAAGCTCTGGTGTCTGGGTGGACCTCGGACGGTTAGTTTCGAGCACCTCTTGTCAACGTCGAGGCCCTCATCCAGCTCTCGAGTAGTTACTTGCCAGTCTTCATCCACCTGCTCTCTCACCGTCTCGACAAGCTCTGGTGTCTGGGTGGACCTCGGACGGTTAGTGTGAGGTTGGTCAAGAAAGGAAGGCTCCTTCTCCGTTTCAGCTGCTTCTCTGAAGCTGCTGAGCCTAGCTCTGGTGGCTGGGTGGACCTCGGACGGTTAGTGTGAGGTTGGTCAAGAAAGGAAGGCTCCTTCTCCGTTTCAGCTGCTTCTCTGAAGCTGCTGAGCCAACGGAAGACAGTAGACTTGACATACATAGGGACCAGTTCGGTGTAACAGCCAGCTGCCGTAACGCCAAGTTTGAACCACGTGAACGCATAGAAGCGAAGGTTCTTTACGTTTGTAGCGATATACAAATTGATGAAAACAGCTGCGTTTCACTGAGCTTATAGAGCTGTCTTTTGAGGTCTGCTGTGTAAACACTTCTCAGCGGATTGACTTGAAAATCGGTAATAACGGAGATTACATATTGATCTAAATACCTGAGCAGTGAGAAGTGCACTGCTTGTAGAGTTACAAATTTACAATCGATTCTCCTTACTTTCCGGACACCCGAAGTATCAATATTTGCAAATTGGAAATAAAATAGCAGAATTCTCCGCCATAACCCTTAACATTGAAGTGAAATGCCCTGCGTTATCTTGCCTGCGTAAAAATGTCATTGATGAGAAACGTCATCGAAGCCACGGGAAGAAAAGGTGAATAATGTCTTTGTAATGGGAATGAAAGGATGTGATTCATCTCCCGTTTCATTCACGATGTGAATGCGGCCATGCGCAACAACCAACATGAATCCCCACTGACGGGGAAAGAGCTTATGCTTTAGGAATAATAATATCTAACCTTTGTCCTGTCGGTCTGTCCGTCTGTCCACCGGAAGCCACCAGGGACCGACTTTTCCGAACGCGACCCGCGGTTCGGGCTTGATGGTCCGTGTCGGGCCGATCGGGCCAGTCCGCAGCCCGTTGAGGCCTCTAAGCTCGAGAGCACGAGGTCTCTGCAGTTCGTCCGCACCCAACAGGAAACTCGATCGTCAACAGAGCCACACGCCCGATCCGCGGGTCGTGTTGGTCCGATCGAATCGATCTATATCCCGTGCAGAACTCGGAGTCGTCCCTTATTCCTCTCCTTTCATTCTTCACGGAATACCGAGGTGATCGAAATTCGAACGACCTGTCACTTCGATGCCAGAGGGCGGAACTCGCTGAAAATTTGCTTTCATACAGTCGGGGCTGTATAATGACGCAATGCATCACCTATCATTCATCCAAAGCAATCGCTATTTGAAATTTCAGCCAAGCAGTTTGTTTCTTATAACCTGTCTAGTCACTATCACTAAGATGTTCATTTGCAATTAAAAGAAGTGAATAAAGAATAAGATAAGAAACGAGGCTTTTTCTGTTCTTTGTGGATGGCATGAAGGCGCGTTTTTGGCGCTGGACACACCGTGGACGTTTCAAATTCAACAATAGTGCTCGGTATGAAGCAACAGCGTCTCTAAAAGTAGGTCCACTTCACATGACCGTTTCGGCAAGGGCACAGTTACTTCGTATCCAAAGTCCATCTGGTTGAGTTTTGTGCCCGTATGGCTGGACATGGGGAGTTCAATAAGGAGAGTTGCGAGTTGATTCCATTTGGCTCTTCCGGCAACCACCATGGAGAAGTAACATATAAACCTATATATGCCCGCAACAGAACATAGACCAGGAGCGACTAGCATGCAAATGATGTCATTGTTATATTATGATGAGATATACTAATTAATATTTATTTTTATAATATTTTCCCTGATCTTCGGGGACAAACAGGTGGGGCTCCCGTTAGAGAATGTCCCATGACATTCTGGCATCGAGGATCAGTCTCGCAAGACAGGAAATCGGATACAATTCCTTATTATTGATTGCCGAAATGAATTGTCCACTTCCCCTTGCATGGATCCGCTCTTTTTCCTTTCTCTACTCCCGTCATTGCATTTATGGACTCCAAAGCCTCCATTTACTGAGTCAGGGCCGAGTGCTGAAACCTCATAGAGGTGAAACGTCCTCATACCCTTTGGCCGAATAGTTTTTTTTTATCCATTGGAGTAGAGGATTCCTATAATCCGTTAACTGAAAAATATTGAAGCATTCGAAACCCACCCTTCGACCGGAAATAAAAATGCAGTTCTCCGTAGTCTCCATTCCGGGGTAAGCAATAATGAGTTTCCTTCCTGTCTTTTAGTCCGTTGAAATGCACATGCCCGAAAGTACAAAAACCAAGGTAAAGACCCAGCGGAATTAAGCCGGTGAAGCGAAATTCGGAAGCGGAAGAGGGTAATGCAACCCATGTAATTACATCCTATTTATTAAATGGGCCAGATGTCGATGATGCAACTAATTGTTATCTGCCCCAAGGATTCACCGGTGCAAGATTAATCCATCCGGCGGATTATCTGCCACACCGAAGAGAAACAATGGACGCAGCCGGAAATAGTTTTTTTTTCCATTTTACATAAAGGCGTTTGTTCTTCTGTGACAGGATCGCTATTCTTCTGAGAACACCCTTCCTGAAGTGGACAGACAACAGAATTACGAATTTATTCGTGCCATGGAGAACGGGACCCACACCTGGCTTCACTTCTCTCGGAGGATCATTACCCCAGATCCGGTGCAGGATTATCAAATTACCGTAATTTTCATTCCTTTTCTTTTTTTTACAAGTGATTTAACCGCAATTAGGAAATAGAAAGGAGCGGAGCGCAAAAGCAGGAGATGATAGGAGAATAAAGAAACATGCCGTTACTGATCGATGCGATTTCAGGACGCCCCTGTGGAGATCATCTGGGCATACGGAGATAAGGACCCAGGGATCCTGGAGCAACCTCACTATCACTTTCGCAACCGGGGGGGACGCCGCCTGTCCATCTTCGACGACGTCCCCATCGCCTTTCTGGAAGATGCAGTGGAGAATCCATCGAATAACGGAACGGAGAGCATCGAATGAGGACGTCAGCATTTTCACCTCCCCCATACCCAACTGCCGAACGGCTCTTCTCGTCGCTTCCGATTTGGAAGTTCAAATCGTCACTTCTTCACCACATCACAATTTTAAAAATATGTTTATCCTTCGTCTCCAGTCTTCGCCGAATTCTTACTGACCCTCGCTGATCGTTCGATTCGGCAGCATTCAATTCCATTACAAATGAAGTTCAAACTTCAGATCTAGCAAATATCGGGCGCATTTCATTTCGGCGAGGCCAACCTTCTGGGATTCTCCACCACGGTACTCGATCACCTAGACCGTGCCGATTACGCCCTGATTCCAGACAAAAACCTTTTTAGGATTAGACCCGTGTTTAAATTAAGTCGTAGGACGGACCTATGTGAACAGGCAGGCGATTCAGTTTCTTTTTATCTTAATCAGAGTGTCCTTCAGAAAATAGGAACACCCTCATTTTAATTGAGGGCAGAAAATAGTAAGTACCACTATGACTAAACTTCAGGTTCTTCATGAACAGCCTTCAATTTTAACCATTTGCCCAACTGCGACGGAACTTCCAAATTGCTCTACCATGTTCATCTCTTGGTATCTTCTCGAGTTGCTGGATAACGGAGGATGACTAGCCATCAGAAAGTTGAAGCCTGCACCTGAAGAAAAGTTCCTGCACTTACGGAGGAAAAAAGTAGTTTACCAAGGCTTAATGCGGATTGTAAGGAGGATCTGGCGCTTTTCGCAGCCACGTTCGGTGATGGTTGCAGTCGTGATGTTTGCTGCGTTTGGGCGAGCGGCACCGGATTTCAGCCAAGTACCTTTAAGATTCGATTTTCTCGTTTGCAGAGCAGGCAGGAGTTTATTCCTCAAAATGTCTGAATGTATTTGATCTGAGACGCCGCGATGCATCGGATGCACCAGAATTGCGCTTCCCAAACGAGACAGATTGAACTTTACTGCAGATTTTTCAATGCAACACTTCTTGGGAGATGAAGACTCAGCACGTTACCATTGCAGTCATACATTCATTTTATGGGCGATATAAATGCATCGAGGTCTCCTCTCACGTTTCAGATAGAACTCGCCTCGGCATCTTACAGGTCTTTTTATGGAAGTGTCAAGAAACGGGAAGTTCACTCGAAAGACGCTTTTCGTCTGGCTAAGATGCTCATGAATCATGTGATGAACTGAACCTACAGATTGCCTCATCAACCTATTCAATTCAGCCGCATTAACATACTACTACGGGAACATGAAAATCGACCCCCTTAGATCTAAATTTCGTTTTACAATTGTTGTGGGGGACCTCGAGAAAGGGCCTTGGAGCCAATTGTTGGTTCTCTCAGGTCACCCCCGGGGGCCATGATCTGTGGTCAAGGGGTCAAGATTTGCATGCTTCCCTTTGAAAATCTCCATTTCCCCCACCTTTGGTCGCAGAAACGTCAAATTTGCACCATTCTCCTTGAGACATACAGCACTAAATGGAAAAATAAATACACATACAGGTATACACTGTCGTTCCCGAGACGCCATGAGGCCGTAACTGAGAATTGGTCTGTTTTCGGATTCTGTTTTTTCGCTCTCATTCCTCGTATAAAATTTCTATCGCCAAAGCATGCTCCGATTTTTGGAAGGTAATATGGTCCATTATTTTGCGGAGTTGTGCGTGGTTCCTCCTACCGTTCCCCCTCAGTGTTCGATGATCCGCCTGAAAAATCCACTTATTTGGAAGGGACGTGACGTTGACGGACAATCCTTGAAAACGAGGCTGAATTTCACAAATTCCTCTTGTAGACCTCTTTAAAGTCTCTTAATCAGCTTCCTAGCAATATTCAAGAGAATACGTTCATTACCCTAGGAGCCTATCGATTTTTCCCAGGGCCTTTCTCGACTATTTAGGTTATTTATTCCATTCCGGATCGACTTTCTCCTCTCACCGGTCAAGAATGCATGATTTTTTGTGCCTATCCCATATAGGGATGTTTCACGGATCCAATGGCACCAAGATTGCTTACTGTCTCTTAAGGGATAGAGGATGCCAGGCTTTAATTGATGATTTCCATGAAAACTTGAATGCTCGCGCGCAGCTCTTCCTTGTTGGGCCTCCCTCCCGCCTCACTCGCCCATGTTCCTTCGCCTGCCCTAGCACCGTCTCACATGCTCGCACTTCCCCCTCGCCTGTTCTTTTCCTATTTCCTCTAGTCTAACTGGCTCCTGCTACTGACTTCAGCGGAGGAAATTTGAGAAATTTGGGGGCTCAGAGACAGTACTCCAAGTATTCCTTATTCTCGTCCTCGCTGCGAGCCACTACTGCCAATTTTTGCTGAGGACTCAAGCCCCCTGAGCCCCTTATGAATCGCCGTCTATGTGACCGAGACCATGTTGAAGAATCATGCAGCAATCGACCCCGTTTCTCCTGCAGGCCTCCTTCCTCGTCTACGATCACGAGCTGCATTCCTCAGAGTCAATGGTGTGATGGAATTACCTGCAATTTAGATGACACCTAAATCGCCTTTCCAGATGAACTGGTTCCTGAATAGTAGGACTTTTCCCAGTTGTGCCAGAAATGGCCAGCATGGCCAGCTCGAACACTGAGGGGGAATGGTAGGAGGAAACCATGCACAACTCCGCAAAAAGATGGACCATATTAGCTTCCAGAAACCGGAGCATGCTTTTGCCGAATGAAAATTTCTACGAGGAATGAGAACGAAAAAACCGAATCCGAAAACAGAAAAATTCTCAGTTATGACGTCATGGCGTCTCGGGAACGACAGTTGCATACGTGTATTTATTTTTCCAAGGAGAATGTCTGAAGGAGAATGGTGCAAATTTTTACGTTTCTGCGGCCAAGGGTTGGGGAGATGAAGATTTTCAAAGAGAAGCATGTAAATTTTTACCTTTGACCACAAATCATGGCCCCCGGGGGTGACCTGAGAGAACCAGGAATTGGCTCCAAGGCCCTTTCTCGAGGTCCCCTACAACAATTAAAAAGAGGAATTTAGATCTAAGGGGGTCGACTTTCATGTTCCCGTAGTACCTTAATGCGGCAGTCTTCGACCAAGTTGGACTCCACTAGGCGAGCGTGATTAGGACCTGCTGCTGTTCTGAGTCTTCTTTAATAATCACAGAGAAGCTCACACGACCACAGAGGAAGGTTTTTTAAATTTCCAGTTGTTGACTGCCCTTTTGATCTGAAAACTTTTTCACTGGCCCGCCTTGCATTCTGGAGGAGTTGTCATCTTAATTCGGCAAGAATTTGATGACGGCACACCGTTCAAATTACATTCGATGCAGTTGAGCGCCAAAAGAGTAGAAAGACGATCATTTCGTGATTTCTAGTCGAGGCATTTACAGAGTGGTTTTTTATTCATGGGATCATTATGAATATTCATAATCATGGAACAAATCGAATTAGATTCATGAAATTTCGCATCAAGAATACATACATATGAGAAAGTTATACTCTACTAAGAAACATGTTCAATATGTTCTCTCCGCAATCACCGGTCGTAGGGGTGCGGTGGAATTCTGCACAACTGCCTGCAGAGTACCCCTGGAAATGGAGTAGACATCACGTTCTGTGGCGTCTTCAAGGCTTCAAACGTTCATGGAATTAGCCGTGACTCGAAAACTTTATCCTTTATGTTTCCCCAGAGGAAATAGCCACATGGATTAAGATTGGGGGGGAAATGGTGACCATAATAATCCACCGCTGTGGATACCAGGAAATATGTTAGACAGCGTTCTGGCACAGGAGTTCTAGGGCAGGAATTTTAACACAATGTTCGCTGTGTTGCAGTTCAATTCATCTGACTATTTTCTCTGGGGATACCAGAAGGACTGAGTTTCAGAGTCAACGTTAAATCCATGAGACCTGAAGGCGGCCATATAGCATGAAGTTATACCATTTTCCTGAATACCCTGCAGGCAATTGTGATACACGACACCCCTGCGACATACACACATAGGAGGACACATTGAACATGTTCATTGAACATAAACATTGAACATGGAAAGTTATATTCATAGAACATAACTTTTCCAAGTTTATGGATTCTTTATGCAAAATTTCAAGCATCTAACTCTGTTCCAATATTATTATTATTTATAACTAGCGAGCTTGTTTTCCCTTCGGGCAAACAAACTCGCTATAGTCGCGCCTTCGGCGCTCCATTATCTTCGAGAGTGATTAATTCATTTATTTTTTCGAAATGGTTAACACGTATTTAAAGTAGGTCCCCATTGAAATACGTAACATATGGGGACGAAAGTCTTGATTTTTATCAAAATCATTACTTCTATTATTTCTAGTGTGCCTAACTCGAAATCTTTTCTTGTATCCCTCTTCGTAAGGGTGGAGAATACATTTTAAAATACTTCCCTCCTATAATCTACGCTAAGGAGACATATTTCAAAAGTAGGATTTTTCTGTACTCAGCCATCAAATAGGTACTTCTGAAGGAAGTTTAAATTGTCTGCCTCTGTTTCGTTGGAAAAAAAAACATCAGGAAAATGGGACAGAAAAAAGTGCCTTGATGGGTTTTAACGAAACTTTTTTTTTTAATGTAGGCTTAGGGAACTCCATGCCACCCAGTTTCAGCCGTATGCGTTTCCCCTTTTTGCTGGCGGAAAACACTGATTTGGAAAAGCGACTCACCCAAAAGCTGTGCTATGGGGAGACGCACAAGAAAAAATGAAATTTTCCTTAAATCAACATCACGTCCGTTATGGGTGCGCCAGCTACTTTTCTATTTCTGCCTGATTCGGTAGGACAAGAAAAATTATTTGAAAACGTTACGTCCCCAAGAAATATGAACCCCAAAATATTTTTCCAATTTGATGTTTGACATTTGAGCTCAGTGCGTCAACGGTCACGTTCTTGCCAAGTTTCAGCTTTCTATGTGTCTCCGTATTAATGAAGCAAAGAAAACTATGTGAAAATTTGTTCCCCGAAAATGTGTGCCACTATGGCATGTTTCACCAAAGTGGAAATTTTTTTCTGAGCTCAGCATGCGAATAGCTACTTGTGTCAGTCAGCTACTACGATCACTTATATATAATAAAAGTAGAATTTTTCCTTTACTCTGCTATCTATTAGGTACATCTTTGCCCAGTTTAAACTTTCATGCGCTCTGTTTTTCTGGATCAGAAAATTCGGGGAAATACGTCTTTTGCAAAATATGTGCCCCGAGCCATTTTAACCGAAA